CTCTTTAAAAGTACTCAGCGGGTGCACTGCTAACTGAGCTGGCCAAGTAAATGATGGATTTATGCAAATGTCGTGGTTTCTAACTGATGGCATTGGAATATACAGTGACTGTGTCCTGTGAGTGCAAGGAATTATGGCCAGTGCCCTGTGCAGCCTCCAAAGCATGAGCCCATAAACCGTGCTGTACAGAAGTGTGATTATCTGAAATATGTAAGAGAAGTGGAAGATGAAGCTATAAAAGAAATAAGATACATATATGGTGCATTAATCATAAGTGCTTGGACAGATGTTGTCTGTCTACCCCAGCACGTTCACAAAGCGCCTGTTGTGACTGGAATTTTACAGGGTCTGTCCCAAGTTATGTTTGTGCAGCACAGTGAATAGCTGCAGTTGCAGTGAATAAGAAGAATGTAAAAAATGTTAAATAGTGTTTTATTGCAGATTTAGAATGAGAAATGACCTGTAAGCCTGCGGAGTGGTGTTAGTCAGAAATATTTTAAATAGTTGTGCCTAGGGAGGGCAGCCGTTCAAATACACTGTGTGCTGTCTGCCAGAAGATGGTGCCCTAAAACGCACTCTAGAACTGCAATTTTTAGAAGCTGCGATCAACTGCAAATGATCATTTTAAAATACAGGTCAGAATAGAGTGATTTTCAAACAAATCACCCAAGTCAAAAATACATATTAATATCCAAACTTCCTATTCTGAAATGTTGGCTTATACTTAAAAGTATGACAACACAAATTAACAAACGGGATCCAAACATGCAAAACAAAGCAAGATAAATCCAATACAGCTACCACTTCAAAGCAAATCAAAGCTTCAGTTGCCCATCCCAAAATATAAACACTTCAAATTCTTTTCTAAATTAATTTCACAACGTTTTTGGGGTTTTGTGTTTGTTCACGTTTGGTCTTTTTTTTTCACCAGGCTTAAAACAGACCAGAGATAAAAGAATAATTATTTATGTTCCTTACCAAGAAACTGATCAATTTTAAAAGTGGAAAACAGTTACCTTGTGGATTTCAAGGTATAATTTCATTGATTTCTTAATGCTGGAGACAAAGAAATGAAATAAATTGCAAAAAAGCAGGCAGCATCCAGTTCAGTAGGCAAATCTGAAGCTTGTTCAGCTGATGAAGTGAGACAAAGAACTCCCTCCTGCATTGTGTCAGGTCTGATATAACACACACACACCACAACACAAGTTGTGGGATTTTTGCCATTGTCTTCACCCGAGCTAAAGTTTCCACAGGGAGTTCTTACACTGACAGCTTCCCTGCCTTGTTGGTAATAAACTGTTTGCAGCTCGGGGAAGCAAAGGGCAGCAGAGCAGCAGGTCTCCCTGCCTCGGGTGGTGCTCCCGTGTAGGCGCTGGCGATTACAAGGATCAGGAGAGCTCTGCCTGGGAGGCCAGGCCAGCTGATATTCACAGATCAATAACTCCACCTGGCTGGTTTGCTCCCTTTAAGTCTTAGACAATGGAGTTTAATTAACAGAAACAGCTGGCTTTCCTTAATGTCTGATTTTCTGAGATAACTTAAATTCAGGCATAAGGATAACCACACCAAACCATGAAATGAAGTTCAGCTTTAATGACACTCCCGTAGCTCTTGTGCTCTCTGTTGCAGAAGTGTCGGTCTTTTTGCAGTACTGCTGGTTGCTATAATTAAGCAAGTATTTTGAAAATTAGGTAGGGAGAAAACCACATCAGGATTGTCAAGCTGTAACCACCCAGTATTTTAGATTTTCATGTATCTAACAGTGAAGAGAATGATAAGACTCAGTACAGCAACAGCAGCTTTAACTCCAGTCTTTGTTTGCACAGCCTGGTACAGATGGTCCTCTGTGAGCGATGCAACAGCACTGTGTGTGCTATGTACCACTGCAAGCACATTTATTCCACCTGTATGGCCCATACCTGGGGCTGTACTGCAGATAAATGTGAGCTTCTTCATGTGTGTGACAGAAGAACAACGCCCTGGTGGAGAGAGGGCCAGAAGCATTGTCCCTGCAGCAGGGCTGAGCTGGGAACACAGTACTAGGATGTTACTTACCAAGTACAAGCTTTCTAACAGTAAAAGTAAGTGATTTTACCATTTGATCCACATTGCTTACTAAAAAGGGCTGTTTCCTTAGACTCCCCAGTATGTTTTTCCCTTAAGTTCATACCCAACAAAGTCCATGCTTTCATGACTCAAGTGCCAGTAGACTTAGTGCAGAAACCAGCTGGCAGCAGAAGCAGCACAGAACTGAGTGGCCTCAAAAGGCAGAGCAAGGGCAGATTTGTGGCTCAGAAGAACAGAGCTACAGGAGGACACTGTGTTGCTGTAAGCTGCAGCTTCAGCTCTGCAGTTCCTGCTGTAAGGATACCTGCCCAAAATGCTTCCTCACATGAGCACATGGGCAAGGGCTTCCCAGCACGTCCTACCCACTCTGTCAGATTAATAATAAAGCTATTGAATGTTGGAAGGTTAAATAACCAACAAAACAAACAAAAAAATCCCAAATGAAAAACAAAACAACAACAACAAAAAAACAACAACAACAAAAAAAACAAACAAACAAAAAGCCCCCCAAAACAAAACAAGATGTCCTTAAAGCAGAGTATGTTTTCTTGACATGTGCTCTGACAGACCAACCTTCCAAGCTGTCCATGAGCCACTCTCCCAGTTTCTCAGGAAGACAACCTTATGGAATCTGGCACTAAGTGGTGCTTAACCACTTAGTTAACAGGAGTTAACTAAGAACAGGAGAGAACAGCCTCGTACAGGCCCCAGGAATGAAGGAAGGAGCTCTGCAGCAGTATACTTGAGGGCAGCAGGTCATGAGATGCTCACTGCCACAAACTTCATTCCAGGTGGAGCAGATGAAGCCTCAAGTTAAAGGTGGTCTCTGTGTGCCCTGTGTGAGGAAGCTCTCTGTTCTTGGAAGGGATGGTCCACATTGCACAGTGACAGCACTGTTTTTGTCTGTGCTGACAACTTTACCAGGGTCCATGGCTTGAATGGGACAGGGACCTGAGCTGCTGCTGTGATCCCCCCACAGCTGGGGCACATTCCCTGGGTGGTGTTTGCTGCTGGTCCCTGCGGGAGCAGCAAGGGACCGCACCAGGACACCCTGCTGCAGAGGCACCTTCCACCAGCACACACCTGCAGGCTACGGGTGACATGTAACTTGTTCCACTGGTACCACACGTGGTAGCAGCTTGCTTAGGAGATGGGCAAAAAGTGTAGTGAAAGATGTGATCACGGAAAAGAGCACTTGATTCCCAAGAGTGGTGTTTGCTTATGTATGTTCACATGGACATGGACTGCCTCTGTCATGCCTAACAGATTTGTTTTTCAGGTCTTTCTCTGCACATTTACGTGGCTTGTTGGATTTTTTTTTCCTGCCACCCGTGCACACACAAGAAAACCTATTGCCAATCAATTGCCCTCCACTGCTGGGGACCTTTTTGAGTACACAGTTGCTTTTAATGTTTAATTAGGTCTGATAACAGAATAAAATGTTCTTGGCACAGCAGTGCCTACAGCTCAGACCTGAGCCATATTTCTCTCCTTGCAGGGTGCTCAGCACCCAGCAGTATAAGGACACCCATCAGATACCTGTTAGGTCTTTGTCAGCATTTCTGCCATCAACACAAACGATTGTCAGGGAGCTGCAGCTCAGTTACAAAAAAAACCCCAAAATCAACAACAAAAACCCCCCAAACCTCTAGGCCACTGTTGAGTATCGGAGGTCTCATTCAGTTGCCGTTTTGAGGGGTTGTTTTCTGACACTCTTTCCCGTGAGCACACAGATGTAAATAGCAAGCGGCGCCAGGGTGTTCATCAGCAATCAACAGACGAAGGTCTTGCAGTCACATACACACAGTAGCTGCTTTTTTACACTCCAGTCAGTTCACAGATTGCTTTAGGCCACAATATGTTTATCATATGTCTTAGGGCTGCTTTTTTTTTTTTTTTTTTTTTTTAAATAACTGGCAACAACCCTCAGCTGCCATGCTACAAACACAAGTCCTTTCAGCGGAGGCGCCTCGCCAGCGCTGGGAGCTCCGCACAGGTGCGGGGCTGCCGGTGCTTGTGTGGTGCAGCCCCGGCCGCAGGCGGGGCAGAGCCGCCCCTTCCCCACGCAGGACGAGGCCGCGGGTGCTGCCGGAAAGTTGCAGCGAGGGGCGCGGGCAGCGCAGCCCCCCGGGCCGGGACCCCGAGCGCTCCCGCCCGGGCGCTCCGTGCGCGGCTCCCGCGGCTGCCGAGCCCCGCGTGGGGACCCCGGCGCGGTGACAGCCCCGCCGCCAGCCCCGGGCCGGGCTCGGCCGGCCCCAGCCGAGGAGGGAGCTGCCGACCCCGCCGCCGAGCAGCGCCGCGGCCGCCCTCTCCCTGACTGACTCGGGGAAAATCATTGTTTGGCTCCGGCATTAGCTACATTCCAGCGGGACGCAGCGCCCAGTCTCCTTCCTCGCATTCCTGCCCCACACAAAGGAGTCCCTGCCTCGCCGCGCCCCGCGCCGCGCTCGCCGCGCCGCAGAGCCCCTCCGGGCCGGCCGCCGCCTTCGCCCCCGCCCGGGGGTGCGGGCGGGCCGCGGCCCCGCCGCGGGGCGGCCGCCGGGGGCGGCGGGGGCAGGGACCCGCCGAGCGCAAATTCCTCCGCGCAGCGCGCCATTGACTGGACCGAGCAACTTATTTAAGGCTGGAAAGTGACACAGGGGCGCCTCGTCTGCGCCGGCCGCGCTCCGCCGGGCAGCCCGGCCGCACCGAGCCCAGCGCCGCGGCGCGGGATGCCGCCCGGGTGACCGCCCCGAGCCCGGCCACCGCCCGCCGCTCTCCGGACGAGGAGCCGCGTCCCGCCGCTGCCCCACCAGGACCGCGGGAAGGGGCTTTCTTTTGGGGTGCTTTTTGTGTTGCTGGATTTGGGAAACTTTTTTTTTTCTTTTTAGATTTTTTTTTTCTTTTTTTTTTTTTTTTTTTTTTTTTTTTTTTTTTTTTTTTTTTTTTTTTTCCTCTCTCCGCTCCGGGCTGCGCTTTCGCGGAGAGTTCACCGCCCTTCCCCGCCCCGCGCCGCCGGGCTCCGGCAGAGCATGGAGAAGTACGAGGAGGACATGGCACTGAAGGCCACCAAGTTCATGGAGGACCTGTCTCTGTACGAGCCCAGCCCGGAGGGTCCGTACGGCCGGGGCGGCCGCCGGGACCTGATGCTGCACCCCGACCTGGAGGAGACCAAGCGGGTCATCGCCGCCCACATGACGGCGGAGCAGCGGGGCCGGAAGATGAACGGCACCGCCGGGCCGCCGCCGCCCGCCGAAGGCTTCCCCGCCGCCGCCCCCTGCGGCAAAGCCGCCCCGCTCCGCGCCAACGGCCGCGCCGCCGCCGAGCCGCCGCCGGGCGCGGGCCCGCCGTGCTGCGAGGAGGGGCTGTGCACCCGCTCCGAGGTGGCGCTGCCCTGCTACAGCGGCTTCGCCGACAAGGGCAAGCGCTACTCGGCCGAGGGCTACCGCTACGCCGCGGGCAGCGCCTACGAGGCCGGCTACGTGGCCAAGGGCGGCGGGCGGGCGCCCGGCGGCCCGGACGGCAAGTTCGGCGCCGCCAGCCCGCGGGCCAGCCTGGCCGCCTCCTCGCCGGGCCCCGCCGCCGAGCACGGCAAGTTCTCCAGCCCGCGCTCCAGCCTGGGCGGCGCGGTCGCGCTGCCCTACGAGAAGTTCTCCAGCCCCCGCTCCAGCCTGGTGGTGCCCGGGCAGGACAAGTACGGCAGCCCCCGCGCCAGCCTGGTGCAGTACGACGGAGCCGCCCTCAGCCCCCGCTCCAGCTACGCCAGCACGGCCAGCGACACCAGCAAACACTCCAGCCCCCGCGCCAGCCTCACCGGCTACGACGGCGGCGGCAGCAAGCCCAGCAGCAACCGCACCAGCGGCATCAGCATGGGCTACGACCAGCGCCACGCCAGCCCCCGCTCCAGCACCGCCAGCCAGTACTCCTGCACCGCCAGCCCCCGCTCCAGCTACTCGGACTCCAGGTACGGCCCGCCGGGCAGCGCCGAGCCCGAGGGGGCGGGCGGCACCGGGCTCGCCCTGGCCAGCCCCCGCTCCAGCCTGTGCGGCCCCGAGGGCCGCGGCTCGGCCGGCCCCGCCGTGGTGAGCCCCCGCTCCAGCATCTCCAGCCAGAGCTCGCGGAGCTCCCGGGGCTCCATGAGCGCCTATCCCGAGCTGCAGCTGCCGTCGCCCCGCTCGTCCCTGCTGGGGCCCGGCCTGCAGGAGGACGGCGTCGTGCCCGAGCTGGGGGATGTGTACCACCGCATCCATGCCCAGTCCCCGCCGCGGCACGACCAGCAGCACCCGGCCGGCGCCCCCGAGCCGCCGCCCCCCTACGCCTACAGCCCGAGCAAAGGCTCCGCTTCGGCTCCCAAATTCAAGCTCCCCTACCAGGTGACGCCGTGCCGGGAGAGCGGCCCCAGCCAGGCGGAGAGGCGGCTGGAGGCGCTGACGCTGGAGCTGGAGAAGGAGCTGGAGATGCACATGAAGAAGGAGTACTTCGGTGAGTGGGGCGGGGGGAGCGGGCGGCTGGAGGGCGGCGGTGTGCGGGGCCTGCCGAGTCGGGCGGCTCGGCCGTGGAGAAGGCCGGGCGTGCGCTGCCCGGGACTGCTCTGGACCAGGCGCCTGCTGAAGTCTCACATGGCCACAGTCCCTGTCTGGTGCCGAAGCGCCTGCACCGTAGTTCACTCCCGGTATGTGAACTCTATCTCGTCTCTTCCTAACGCCGTTTGCCGGGATGTGTGATTCTTCCCTTTCCACGTGCGGTTTGGGAGACTTGTCTGAAGTGTGACGAGAGCCGCTTGTGCACTCGGGGCTTACAGTGACTCTCTTCCTCACGGGCTGCTGAAGCTTCTCTGCTAACTTCCAACATCCCAGAGGATGTGGTGTTTGCGATCCTGCTCTCAGTCTGTGGTAACTTTTGTAGATGATGAGCGTGGCTGGTGGGGCAGTTCTTAGTGCCTCTTTCGATGAAATTTTTGTGCTAGTTCAGAGTACCTGTGGGAGCCCAGCATTGTTCCTGCCCCGCGAGGCCTCGCAGGGACATCCCTAGGACCACAGGGGAGTTTGGAGGAGGGGAGCCCTTGGCCCTTGCTGAGGTTAAGTCGGTCTGTTGGTCACCTCCTGAATTTTTGTTGCTTTTTTAATGGAAGAAAAGGAGCTTCTTGAAATGTGGATATTCTTGAAATGCAAATGAGTGCACGTGTTTTATAGCCACAGTAGTTAGGATTAGGCTCCCCTGCCTGTCTTGCTGTGTACTGGATGGTGAAGGCTAAAAACACCTGTGAAAAGCTGATCCCGGAGTGTGCAAATACTGCCCTGGCTGTCCTGCAGGTGAGCGGCAGCTGCGGGACCGGGCGGCCCCGGGAGCCGCTGGATCGCTCCCTGCTGGAGCAGGGGAAGGTGAGGGGGTGCGGATGGGCCGGCCCATCCGAGCCCTTGGAGGGAATGGCTCTGTCCGTGCTCTGTGTGCGTTGCTGGGGATGGAGCCGTGTCACCCCGCTCGCTGACCCAGGCGCGGGGCTCGGCGTGCATTCGGCGCAGCGCTGGGAGCTCTGCAGGGCAGGAGCTGCAGGGCTGCCTCCATTGTCTGGGAGAGAGACCTGCGCCGTCAGTGCAGGTAGCTAAGTGAGCAGCAGCCTCTCTACCGAGAAAACCTTCCTGTAAACTGCGGTGGCAGAGTTTCTCCGAGCTTTTGTGCCCAGACAAAGGAGGCTGAATGCAGTGCTTAGTGCCTTCCTTCATCCGTCCGGGGCTGATAAGGAAGCTGATGGATCACCCGCTGGATCTTTTGCAGTGTTGGCACCTGGCACGATGCTCCTCAGCAGCTGAGGGCAGTTCTGGTTCCCTTCGGAAGCTGTGCAGAAAGCTGGGTGAGCCTTTTGTAACACATGAACTGCAGGAAATGTTGCCTTCAACATTTCCACGGTCTGCAGTGAGAGACTGAGGAATAAAACGTAAGAGTGAGAACGAGTTACCTGTCCTGAGCTTCTGGGAGGTGTTTCCTGTGGCCTGGGAAAGCTGGGAGTGCAATCAGGGGCTCAGGAGCAAATGTGGGGGATCTGTGTTGGGGATAGAGTCTCATGTTTGTCAGAGTTTGGCAGTTGCAGATGCCCTGCTTGCATGTGTGCTCCCAGCCTCGGGAATGCACCCAGTGCAGGATGAGCAGTCAGCCTGTGCCTGGGCTGCTCTGGAGGCTCCTGCTGTGGCAGCACTGAGGACCACTGATGTGGCTGGAAGCAGATGAAATCCATAAAACTGGGGTGCTTTGAAAGATAAAGTTCTTGGAGTTGTTGAAGTTTTGATAAATCCTGGTGGATTTGATCCCACCTTTTTGGTTCAGATGATCCATGTTGGTGAATGCTGAGTTTTGGCTGAGCCAGTGCATGAGAGACTGGCAGGGCTGACCAGAGGCTGTTGGGTCAGAGTGAAGGAGAGTGAGAACAGAATAGGGAGAAGTCTGGTTTTAGTTTGACTTGCCTGAGAGTGTCTTAAGTTAATAAAGGGAAGCAAGGAAAGTGCCTTGATTTTCATGGCAGTTTGTACATGCTGCAGCTGTGAGCTGTTTGCATAGCACTGGTGAATGGCACACTCCAGAGGCAGTGGTGGGTGCTCCTTGGTGCCTGTGAAGAGCAGAAGTGTTGAGCCAACAGGTCCAGCAAGGTGGAGGGAACAGAGGAGATGCTTTACTGCTTCTTAATTAGATGAGCTCAATTGTCTAATGAGTAAATGCTGGTATGAGGACACCAGGTATTTACTGTGCTCTGTGTTCTGTCCTCATGTTGCTGTTGCCTGCCCCCCACACCCCAGTAAAAAAGAAAAATTGAGCAGTGTGCTATTTTGAAACTGAGGTCCAGGGACTAGCCAGCTCTGCCTGGAGGAGGAGCAGCTCTACCCTGCCTCCATGCTGGCTGTGGGTCAGTTTGTGTGAGTGCTCTCCCAAGGGTGCTGCTGCTGGCAGGCCCTGGCTGCTCTCCCACACCTCCCTGCTCTGCTTCAGGAGGGATTTGTAGTCTGGGACAAATAAATACGAGATGGGGGAGAAGTGCAGGGTGTGATCTCCAGAGAGGCTCTGGGGGAGCCAAGCCAGGCAGGGTGCAAGCCCTCAGGTCTGGTGCACTCCCAGCTGTCTGCCTGTGCTGCTCTGCAGGTCCTGACAGTGCTGTGCTGGCAGCTTTGCTGTGCTAGAGCTTTGCTTTACTGCTCCAGCTTCTCCATCCTCCCCTCCTCTCCCAGGCTGCAGTGCATATGGAGAGAGAAGGAAGATGCCCTCCTACCCTTGGTTTAATCTGAGTAAAGATGCCAGTGGTGCCAGAAGAAAGGCTCTGCATCTGCCCAGCTGCACAGGTGAAGGACAGCACCATTCTACTTCCATGTGCTCTCTCCAGCACCTTGCAGCCACCTGCACTCCCTGATCTGAGTGAAACAAAGCCTGCAGAGAAGGAGGGAAAAGAGGGAAGGTTGTTTGGGGCTGGATTGGTGAGTTGCTCCAAGACAGAGGGTGCAGACAGGGATCCAGGAATCCGAGACCCTTCCTTTGGCAGCAGCTGAACTGGGTAAAGCTGTGAGACTTTGTTCCCTTGTAGCTGCTTCCTGTGCATTCCCTGTCCAAGCCTCTTCCTCCTCAACCCTCTGAAACCCCCTGTCAAGGTAGGTCAGTTTAGTGAACGTGCTAGATTTAGTGGCAGATGCTGAGAAATGAGGTAATAAAAAAGTACTTTCACTCATTTTCATAACTCTTTTGAGCTGAACATTCATATGAGATGAGGTAAAAGTTGTTTCAGGGTTGTTTTTTAAATGGGATGTTCATCCCGAGGTGTCAGCAGGACATTGGTGGGTGTTGGAAAGTCATGAGCTCAGGCACTGTCTTAAAATCAGTTTTCTTTGCAGAATACTTCAGTGTGATGTCTAGGTGTTGGAAGAAAGTGTTAAGGTTAAAGTTGTGTTTTGGCACACCCATCCAAGTCGTGCATCCTTGTGGGATTGACCGTAAACCTGTGGCTTGTCCCCTGCCAGGCAGGGAAAGGTGCATGCTGAGCACTTGGGCTGATCTGGCTGGTGTTTCTGCAGCAGAGCTCCTGCTGGTGTGTTGTCAGCAGTGCAGGAGGGGGTGCAGGGGAGCAGGCAGCAGTCACACACTGCTGGCAGCCCCTGCTGTGCTGCAACATCCCCCAGCAAGGGTTCTGCTCACCTTGGCCTCGGTGGTGGGATCCAGCACAAGAAGGGACTTAATGGTCACCTTGTCCTCTCCTGAAGCTGCAGGAGGTGCCTGCCTGTGCAAAGTCCAGAGAGACAAGCAAGTCTGTAGCTCTGCCTTGTCCTTCAGCTCCCCTTGTGCAGGCAGTGCCCTCTGTGAATGTGCTTCTCCCCATCTCTGCACATCCAGAGCCCTCCCCAGCCCTGCTGCCTGCTCACCCCCCAGCTGAGATGCAGAACAGAGTTCAGACCAGGTGTGGTGCTCCCCAGCCAGAACAAGTGATCCTGTCCCAGAGCTGCCACCTTCCCTGCCTTCCACGGGCAGCTTTGTCCTCATCCTGCAGGAAAAGCCAGGGCTCTTGGAGGAGGTTTGCCAGGGGTGTCTCAGGGTGGGACACAAAGCCTGGATTCTGTTAATAATGCAGTCCTCAGTTTGGCAGAGCCCTGGTGAGTAGCCTTGACTTTTGAGAGCTCTCTCTTTCCAGAAAACCATCCAGCAGTACCAGCACATGTTTTTTGGAGCACCACCAAGAAACAGTGCTGATAACATGGTGTTGAAAAGCCTTTGGCTTGGTGGGTGAGGGAAGGGAAGACTGGGTGAAGGGAGGAAATAAATCTCTAGACCCATCTAGGCCCTCTGCTCTTTATATGCATAGTCATCCATGTAAATCTGGATTTGAGCCTTGCAATATGCTCATGAATTCAGAGTTGTATGTTTGTGCTTCTTCTGTGTGTGCAGGTTGATGTGATGAAAGGGTGTTTATGCAAGTGAGATCAAGGTAACAGGTAACAGTGTTAAGTCTCTAAAAGCTGTATTGCATATAAATGAAATTTGAAAATTTGAATGAAATTTAGATAAGCTTACAATTGGTGAGCAGAACACTTGAGAGATTTGCTATGGAATTCAGTCTTAAGAACTTCTGAAGGTTTCTTTGTGAAATATTGTTTCCTGTTTCCATCAAAGTAATGATTGATACATCATATCATTTGGAGGGATAAGCAAAGGTTTATTGTCTGGTAATTACTTTATATTTCTCTTTTTTTGGGCTTAGAAATTCATTCAGTGTTCGTAAGCAGCTGATGTCCTTCAGCATTTGCAGTTGAGGCTGCCTGGGAAAAAATTGCCTTTGACAGGCAAACACTTAAATAGAAATAAACTCACATGGCGGGGTCCCTGAAGTGTTCAAACAAATCTCCCTGTTAGAGCTGGAAAATACATTGCTGAAACGAATTTGAGAGTGTCAGGCTTTTCTGGCCAAAGAGCAAGAAAGCCTCAAAGGGGGTCAGGCGAGGGAGGCGTGTGTTCAC